CCCGGCGCCGGCGTTCGAGCTGTTACTCGTGCACGGACGGGTACGGGAGAGGCGGCTGCACAGCACTGCCCTTGGAAAAGATCACACTTGCAGCCTGGCTGCTGCTTGGCTTTCACCATGGTGGCGGTTCCCCCGTTGCCTGCCCCTCCAACCCCCCTCACCCCCCACAACAGGCCCTGGATGCTCTGCTACAGGAACCAATCTGAGCAGTCATCTCAGCACAAGTTTGGGCAACGCGCTTGGAGCAGCGAAGGAGAGAGGCAGTTTATGAACCTGGCGAGATCCCTCGTGCCGGCACGCACGGGTTTTGCCAACTAGCGACAGAAGCCCGACACAGGATTATTCTTGCCTTATGTGAAAGACCTTCACGGGAGTGTAAGGGAGGCAGTCTAGGAGAACATCTTGCATTCAAAACCTTGTCTAACTCCATCCCAACTACAGCTGGTCCAATAACATATCACACAGAGACCCTTGCCTCTTGCAAAATCATCACAGCCTAGATGCGGCCAGTGACATTTGCAGTCCTACTCCGGCAGAGGCAACAGCTCTTGCTAAGAATGGCTGATGCTGGATTTGTGCAAGAGGCAGTCTAGGAGAACATCTTGCATTCAAAACCTTGTCTAACTCCATCCCAACTACAGCTGGTCCAATAACATATCACACAGAGACCCTTGCCTCTTGCAAAATCATCACAGCCTAGATGCGGCCAGTGACATTTGCAGTCCTACTCCGGCAGAGGCAACAGCTCTTGCTAAGAATGGCTGATGCTGGATTTGTGCAAGGCCTCCTGCTGCACTAACAGACTTCTCTGCTACGGGAGCTCCTGAATCACGTATTGGTACTAACAGGGATTGCTCACTAAGAAACGCAAGTGCTTTGCCTCCTGTGAAAGGACAGGATTGCTTGATTGCTGCTGCCAGGAGACAACACCGCTTGGGTTTAAGGCAAGTGCTTTATTATGACAGGCAAAGGTACACTGCACGTGGCAATGCAGCAGCACCGGATAAATCATTCACGCGGCACAGAGCAGCCAGCGAGCTTTACTCAATGTGAAATCAACTTCCTGAGCAGAGGAAAAGAACGGACACCAGACCCGCGGCTGAGCACTCAACACAGCTTTATTTAAAAGAGCCCAAGGCTCCTGCAGGACTGACGCTCCGTTACAACCGACCCTCCGGAGTGCTCCAATGCTTTAGCTGAATGACACGTGGCAGAAACGGGCAGAGCAGAGGCTGCTCCCTCTACTTGACCTTCTTCTTGGGGCGCAGGTTGTTGGTGTGGCCGCACTTCTTCTTACGGCAGTTCACAGCGCGCGGGTGCAGGCGGGCGTAGCACCTGTAACAGAGGAGCCATCAGCTCTCGGCAAATGGAAGCTCCAGAGAAAAACATTCTGCAAAACCTGAACCCGATTCCCTTCAGAAGTGATGACACTGAGGGTGTTGCGGTAGGTTAAGATCCGCTTCTTCACCCCAATTCCTTCCAGGCAGAGCGGCCTGCCACGTACTTGGCTGAGCAGTGCACCGACGAGCGCTCACTCCAGAGCCCGGACGTTTGATCATCTTGACCGAAGCCATCAGCCCCAACACAGAGGGGGCAGCAGCCTGCTCCCTTCCCCCTGCCAACCCCCAAGGCTACGGGACGAGTCCCACCAGCGAGAACCTACTTGCGGCAGATCATTTTGTCGCAGTTGTATTTCTGCGCGAGCTGGCGGAGGGAAGGCTCGATGATGCCTCCACGCAAACGCAGCACCAAGTGCAAAGTTGACTCTGGAAAGGGAAACACGCCAAGGTCAGGAGAAGCAACGGGGCACTCGCTCCTATCTGATACCTCTCATGGCAAACAGAGCCAGGATTTCTACACCGGGGGCTTCCCACAGTTATTGCCGCCGTTAGCTGTCCTCACTAACACAGTCAAACTTTATCCTAATCCAAAAAGCCACCTGAAGTCGCATCAACGTTTTTTGTTCCATTTAAAAAAAGGTTCTTTTATTATAAGTGACATTTTCCTTGAGACTTTGAATAATTCTCGAAACCCTTTTCTGAGCTCTTTCCAATTTGATTTTTTTTCCTTGGGGAGGGGCAGGGGGGAGGAAAGATGCGCTGACACCAGAAGCGAGCACAGCTTCCCAGTAACTTGTACTGGCATCTCGTGTGGTTCATACAATCCCCACTGCTCCCACAGCACAGCGGCTGCACCAGCTGCTCGCCACCGCCCTGCCCCGCGGACCCACGGCAAGGGCAAGTCCAGCCTGGCTCTTAGGAGGCTGATTACAGCATCCAGGTGGATGCAATTAAAACCCTTCTGCCTGGTGCTCGTTAGACACCACCCGTCTCCACGGGCTGCTCAGCTCCTCTTTTCAGTTGTTCAGCGACCGCGCGATACCTTTCTGGATGTTGTAGTCGGAAAGGGTGCGGCCATCCTCCAGCTGCTTCCCAGCAAAGATCAGCCGCTGCTGGTCGGGGGGGATGCCTAGGAGAGAGGATCCGACAGGGGACGCAGCTCAGGCTTCGCTGCCGGGCAAGGAGCAAAGGTGGGACACCAGGGATGTCGAAGCGCTGGGTAGCCGGGCACGGGGAGGGGGGACCGCCACCCCGGCAGCTCCACGCCTGGGCGGCGCCGGTTCTCCTGCTAGGAGCGAGGCTGCAGGGTCTGGCCCCCGCGCTTGCCACCAAGAAGGCGTTTCGCCCCACGGGCAGCGGGGCTGCCTTCCAGTACAGGGGCACGGCTCCACCTGCCCCCCCCAGCACAGCGCATGTTTTATGGGAGCAGGACGCAGCGCCACACGGGGCAGGCTGGGCTGCTGAGGCCCCCCCCCGCCGCGCCGGGGCCGTGTCACGCAGCGTTT